TTGTAGTGACGGGGCACGTAAGTCCACACAGCGCGGCGGCTGCGTGCGCTGCCACAAGGGGTGTAAAGTCCTGCTCGGGCAGCTGAGTGGACTGTGGCTGCCGCCACACAGTCTCCTGCTGAGGGTGTCAGCGGGTGCTGGGGTGTCAGTGAGGAGTCTGCGGGGTCTGAAAGGAGAGCCAGGGATGGGGCATGGTCTCATATTTGGGGTGGGGTCCCCTCACAGGTAAGGGGAGCTCTTGCCCAGGCCACAGGCAGGTAGCCTCCTTGGCTCCTGCACACCTCGTGCTCACCACCTGTGGGCTCTGCGTTGTGCAGATCTGGTCAAATGGGCACAAGGCTGTTCCCCTCTGCTGTGGTCGGTCGGCCACGTGACCGGCGATAACCAGAATGAGGTGGGCGGGCGAGAGAGGTAGGCTCGTGTGGGGAGGAGGGTGGTGGTTGCTCACCCTCTGCCGGGCAAGCAGGTAGCCCCAGGGACTGGTCGATGCTGTCCACCTGATGGCGAGAGGCTGGTCCGCAGTCTAAGAAATTGCGGCAGAGAGAAAGGAAACTTGAGCGGCAGGGCATGTATTTGGTCGTTACGCAGAGTCTCCGCAGCCCCCCGGAGTGGGGGATGCGCTGCCCTGAGAAGAGCCCTTGCTGGGGCCGGCACAGAGGTCCGCGTAAGATCTTGAAAGTGCACGACTTCATAGGGGTTACGAATTTAGCTTGTATTCATTTTAGGCTCCAACTACTGGTCTTCAAAGAAAAAGACATAGTTTACCCTAGCAGCCAATAAAAATTCTGACTTTTCTACTTTGACATACATTAACAGAATTGCTAACTTATTTTTATTTTTTTTTAAGCAGGGATGATTCTTCAAGAGAGTCTTCAGACTTTGAGAGTTTACAGCTTTGATTTTACACTCAGCTTTTGACACTTCCTTTAAATTATGTTTTTATTAAGAATATTTTATTATGGGGGAAGGTATTTGGAAGACTGTGTGACTCGCCTGTCCCATCATGTGCATCGGCTCCTACATGGTGTGCGGCCTGGTGTTGGCACTCTCCATCTTGGTCCCCCAGCCTCACATGGGAAGCAGGACACCTGGGCAGGAGTGGGTGACAGACGGGGCTGGCGGAGTGCCCGTCACTCACCTCGTTTCTCCAGCTCCCGGGAGTCCGGATTCCAGAGCGCAGCCCCTCGCCTCCCCAGGGAGGCCCCGACCGTTATAAGGAGTGCGCCGCGTGCACTTAGCTCGGAGGGGCATCGTAGCTAACACAGCACTCGGTGCTGGCGACCTGAGGGCACCACAAACAGCCTTGGCACTGCCCTGTGCCGCGGGGACTCTCCGTGCCCACTGTGGCTGGCACTCGTCGTTCACAGGGATGGCCGGTTTGCTGTCACATGAAGTGGCATGAGTCTGTGTCTCCGAAGCCCGGTTTTAGAATCCCTGCCCCCTCTGGCTGCACCTCTCTCCCGGGGCTGGGAAACACTCCTTGCATCAAGGGGTCGCTTAAAAAAGAACAAAGAATTTTTGGGGGAAGCTGCCTCTAAAACCCTCTCACATATAGATAGCTTTGCTTGAAGCGATTCTTCCTTCCAGGATGGTGTTACTGCAGTTGAAAGGCAATATGGAAATCTATTTTCTTCACTTGGTGTAACAATAGGCACCGCTGTGTGCCCATTATGTTCTGGCTGGACTTGTATCCTCTAACTTAAGGAATAAATAATGCAGAACAAGAGCTGCGCACTTTGTTTGTAACACTGCTCGTGTCGCGGCCAGCAGCGGATGTCGAGTGCCGGGCGTGTCTGCGTGCGGTGGGTCCCCTGACCTGTCAGCCCCAGGCCCTCCTCCAGGTGGGTAGCCTCAAGTGGACGATCTGATGGTTCGTTTAAAAACTAAGAGAGGAGCGCCGTCTGGGTGGTCCGTCGATTGGAGTGTCACCCTGCACACCGAAAGGCTGCGGGTTCGAGCCCCAGTCAGGCACATGCCTAGACTGTAGGTTTGGTCCTGGTCGGGGCGAATATAGGAGGTGACCAACCCATATTTCTCACATCGATATTTCTCTCTAAAATCAATTTAAAAATATCCTCAGATTAAAAAACATTCAGGGAGGAGACTTTTTAAAAAAGTAGGAACCAGAATTTCCCCAAATATACCAAATTTAGGTTCTCAGCATACAAAGATAAGAGATTCTAAGACGCATGGGTGCTGTGTGCACTGTTTGATCTTGAGAAAGGGGGTGTGGACATGTTAGGAAGGCAGCCCTCCCTCTGCCGGGCAAGCCCTGGGCCCCCCCCCCCCCACACACACACACACGTGGCCGGGAGCTGCAGGACTGCTTTGTGCCCTGCAGGTCCCGCTCCCTAAGCCTGGAGTCCAGGTCGTGGCCCAGGTGGTTTTCCCTCTGAGGGAACTTGGTGATGCTGACGCTGTGGCTGCTGAGCGCACCTACTCACAAACGGTCCCCTCTGCAGAGGTCGCTTGTCAGTGGTCAACAACATTCACTCATTCGCCTCTGAGAAACCAGGGATGGGGGAGGAAAGGTTTCCTTCTTACCATTGTGCTCCCCCATCAGAGAGATCCAGAGAAGAAGTGGGCCCCTTTTATCCTTCACTGACCAGTCCAGGGCCACCATCACCGCCGACGCCCAGAAGCTGCTGTTCCTTCCTCTTGACCAAGAGCAGCCCAGCTGCCTTTGACTCCATTTCTCATGGCCAAAATAAAGTACCTTCACTTCCCGTGGCCTTCCTACTTGTCTGGCACAGTACTCTGAGTGGGGCTTACTGGGTGAACTCACCTCTCCCTACCCAGCGGTCCCACAAGATAGTCATCAGCCTTTTTGTGAAGGCTGCTCCCCGGGCTGAGGGCTCTGATGGGCCGGTGGTGACGGCAGCACTTGCTGGAAAATGCCCTGGGTGGTGTGAGGTGGTTTGCAGAAACAGTGATGGTTAGATGTTCCCCCACCCTCTGCCTTTAAGACTGCCTCAGATGACTAGCTGTTAGGTGCTGGTCACTTGCATGACTTTCTAGAAAAGGGACCCCACTGCCTTTCCAGGGCTTGGGAAGCCTGACCAACCTTGCCAGCCAGCTGTGTAGAGGAGACCATACTAGGAATGTGGGCTGAAGCGGAGACTGCACCGGAGGGTGGTCTTCAGTGCCCAGTGTGCACTGACCAGCACCCAGAGGCTTTGGGGGAGGAAGCTGGGCGAAGGTTTTCTGGTGTCCTTCAACCCAGGTGCTCTGGGCCAGTTCTTAGCAGCCTGGAGCAGCTCCACTGCAACATGACCACCTGCCTTTGTAGAAACCAGCTGTGTCCCAGTAAGAGCATTTCTAAGAATTGTTATGCCTGGGCTAGCATCTGGTGTGGGAACAGTGAGGGGGCGGGGCATGTAATTTAAAATAGAGTGGGGCCCTTGGCTGGTGTGGCTCAGTGGATTGAGCACCAGCATGCAAACCAAAAGGTTTCTGGTTCCATTCCCAGTCAGGGCACATGCCTGTGTTGCTGGCCAGGTCCCCAATAGGGGGCATGCAAGAGAAAACCGATCAATGTTTCTCAACCTTGCCCTTTCTCCCTTCCCCTTCTCTCTAAAAATAAATAAAATCTTTTAAAATAGGGTGGGCAGAAAATGTCCTCTCTACCTTCAAGTGGGAGGAAATGAAATGGGAGGCAAGGAGCTCTCTGGGGGAAGAACATTTCAGGCAGGGGAAACAGCCAGTGCAAAGGTCCTGAGACAAGCGTACTCACAAAACAAGTTGGTTACCTGGGCTGGTGTGGCTCAGTGGATTGAGTGCTGGTCTGTGAACCAAAAGGTCACCAATTCAATTCCCAGTCCTGACTGGGTTGCAGGCCAGGTCCCCAGTAGGGGGCGCACAAGGGGCAACCACACTTTCGGTGTTTTTCTCCTTCCCTTCCCCTCTCTCTAAAAATAAATAAAATCTTTAAACAAAAAACACAAGTTGGCCAGCGTTGCTGGAGTGCACAAGCAGGGGCCAGAGGAGGAGTTGAGAGCAGATGGGTCAGGTCAATGACAGCCGTGTAGATCATGGTGTGGGCTTTTGTTCTCAATGTAGTGGGGAGCCCAGGCCTTTCCTGATTGAGATGCTGCCTTTCTAGTGTCTCTGGCTCTGTTGGTGGAGACGGTGGCGGGGAAATGGCTGAGCAGGACTGCTCCAGTGGCCAGAGGGTACTTGGAATGGAAGTCAGGCCCTTTTTGGGCAGGAGCTGTTATGTGCTGGAGAGACATGGCACAAGCCTGACGGTGACCAAGTGCACTGTGGCTGCAAAGAGGTAGCACTCTACCCCAAGGTACCCAGTCATTAAGGCGGAGCTGGGCTGGAACCTGCCCATCTGGGCTCCTTCCCCCTCATCTCTGGGTGGTAAGAACCTGGGGCTCGCTTGACCTCCTGGACAGAACTGGGTATGGGACTTGTAGCCCAGCTGCATCCAGCTGGCTGGCCAGATGTCCTAGAAATAATCATTCCTGCCCCAGGTTCCTGTAGTTTATTGAAAAGCTACAAGAATCACAATTTCCAGCATGCCAGGGGTGGGGGCTGCAAGGTAGCCTGTTTGCCCTGTAACTACTGTTAGCGAGGTGCCTTGCTATCTGCAGGGGGATTTCCCAAGACCACAGATTCCTTTCTGGCCTCATCTAACCAACTGGAGTCAATAGACCCTGGCCTGGCAAGATGAGCGTAGTAGGGACAGGGACGGTCCCTTCTAGCTCAGCCCTAGTACAGCTCTGGCCAGGTTTTTACAGGTTCTTTCTGAAGGTAAGATTCCTTGGAGATCACGCTAAAAGCAATTTCTTAGCTACCCAGCCCGGGGTCTGCTCAGGATTGAAGCCACATGGGGACCAGCCTGTGTGTGTGCAGTGCTCCTGAAGGAGTGAGGATGCCTGGTGCTCTGAGCAGCCAAGTGGGCTTATTGGAGGACTTTGGCTCCAAGTGGAAATCGCAGCATCTCCCAAGGGAGAGCGGCAGCGTCACCCCTGCCCTCACTGGCCCGTGGGGCCTCACAGGAGGCAGCAGGTGCAGGAGGAGGGGCTGCGCTGCTGCAGCTGCCGCTGGAGCTGCTCCTTCTCCACTGTCAACGCCTTCACCCTCTGCTCCAGCTTGCTCTGCTCCGCTGCCCACTTCTGAGGGGACATCAGACAAGCAGATGTCTAAGCCAGCGATTTTCAACCATTTTCATTTCATAGCATGCAGTTGTGTGCACTGTTGTCATTTTTTATTTGACAGTTTCAGGGGAAAGAGGTCAGTGCCCCTGACTAAATCATCAGGTGTTGCACGTTTTAAAAATTCTTGGGGCACACCAGTTAAAAATTGCTGGTCTAAGCTGACTTCCGCTCAGGTCCTCACACCCTCCTCCTGGGGTTGAACTGATGGAGGAAGGCAAGGCTCAGAGAGCCTGGGGTGCTTGCTGAAGGCCACTCGGCACCGGGTGGGCCCTGCTAGGTGGAGAAGCCAGGTCCTCTGGCCACATGGCTACCCCTAACTAAGTCAGCTCTGGGGTCTTAATGGAAGCTGAGCATCCCAGGCCCTGGGATGACCCATCCTCTGCAGCCTTCTTGAGTACCAGAGGCAGGCTCAGGTTGGCAGGCCCCCTCTGCCACCCCTACCACCGCCCATGTCCTTCTCTCTCCGTGAGCCCCTTGCCCTCCTCTGCTTTTCTGCCACCTCATGTTTCCCTCTCCAAAATGCTTTTCTTTGGCACTGTGTCTAGCACTCACTGCCCCTATCTTGAGAGCCTCCCCTAAAATGTGATATAGAGTCATCAGGATGTCTTAAAACTTCTCAGCATTCTACTTGCTGGCTCCCCCAAGCCACATGGCGGGGGAATACAGGAGGTAGCAGAGCTACGTTGATTCAGCCCCTCCAGCACACTCAAAGGGGCAATGCAGCACCAAGGGAAACTCGAGGGCTGGCCCAGGACTGCTCAGTGAGTGGTGAACGGGCCCAGGGCCAGCTCGGTGTCCCCATCCCACCCGCCCAGCCTCAGCCACTTACCTGTCTGCACCACTCCTGGATGTCGTGGACGGTCAGTGGGCCCTGGATGCTGCCGTCCCGCCGCAGGAACACCTCTCCCTGGTCTGTCTCATAGAGCTGCGGCTCTGCCTGGGCCCTGGGGGCGTGCACGCTCAGGCGGATCACCTGGGTGGGGGCAGCGGCAGCTGTGGATGCGGCACCCGGCAGTGTGCCGCCCAAACACCGCCCTGCTTGCTCCTGGTTCTCGGGCCTGGGGGCAGCCTGGTGGGGCTGGGGTAGGGCTGTTTCAAGTCTCTTTTCTAGTCACCCATTTCCCCGACTCCAATTTGCTGCCACCCCACGCCCGGCACTGCTCAGCAGAGTAGAGGTGGGCCATCACGTGTACAGTGATGACACAACAGGTGACAAAACAGCCCCAGAGACCTTCCTGTCCTGCAGCGCACCTTGAGAGGCGTGCTGCTGGCGTTGGCGCTGACCACGGGGATGAAGGTGAGCGTGTAGGCATCGGGGAAGACCTGGGGCTTGAAGCCCTGCAGGATGGAGTCCACCAGCAGGCGCACGCGGTCCTCTTCGCGGTGGCTGCAGTGGACACCCTGCACCAGCCCGCTGTCATCGACGCCCACCAGCAGACTGCCGCCCTCACCGTTGAGGAAGGCACATGCATAGCGCCGCAGGTGGTGCTTAAAGGTCAGGCTCAGGTACTCGCCGCCGCCCCTCTTGAACTCCACGTTGCGGGTCTCGCTGCCCAGGAAGGCGCCCTGGAAAAGCCGCTCCTGTCCCTGGATCTCCTGGTGCATGATGGCACTGTCCGAGCGCGTGCCCCTGGGTCGGTACTGGGAGCTAGGCCTCCCTGGGACCTGGGCAGGTGGGGCATTGGTGCTCCTGGCCTGTGGGAGGCCGGAGCCCGGGCTCCGACTCAGGCCGGGGCTGGGGCCAGGGCTCTGGCCACTGTCTTCCTCCTGCTGGGGTGGGGCAAGAGTTGGGAGCCCAGACCAGGGCACCAAGAGGGACAGGCTGCCCAGAACCCCCACCTCCACTGCGCTGCAGCTCAGCCCACTCAAGAATCCCTATGTCTCCTCCCAGGCGGAGGGGTCTCACTCTGCCCATTGTTGTGCAGCCAATGAGCAAATGCCTGCTGGGTTAAGGGCTCCAACCAGCCACTGTTGCTTCCCAGCTGGGCTGCCCTCTTCCCAGGTGGACTGTGAAATGTCAGGTAAGAAGAGCTATCCTTTCGGGGGCTGAAGCTGGGACACCTGTGGGGCAATCTCTTCCCACTTGGGTTGTGGATAGACCTGTGAGGCTCAGGACTGGATCACCAGGAGGTCCTTCAGTACCCTGAGGTCCCATGTGACAGCTTCAGGTCTCTGAACAGCAGGGGCTCCCAGAGCCCTCGCTCCCTTCCTGATCCTCCTGAAACTTTTCCCTTAAACCCAGTGAGGCTGTGCATAACCATATGCCTGGGTGAGGCTCTGGGGCTTGCAGGCCTGGTGGCTCCGGGAACGCCTCACTTACCTCTCTGTGGTCTGTGGGCCGGGGGCCCACTCCCAACACCAGCTCCTTCCCGCGGGCCACCAGCTCCTTGATGATCTGGTGCTCCTCCAAGGCTCTTTGCAGGCGCCAGGGGAGGGAGGCCAGGGTATCTGCGTGGGTGGCCACTCGCACCAGGGCGTGGGCCTTCCGCGGCCGCCTCACCACCTCAATGTGCTCCCGCGCCACCGGCACCCCCAGCCGCTCCAGGGTGTCTCGGAGCAGACAGGCGAGCACCGGCACTGAGAACTGGGGGTTCAGGTGGCCCACGTAAACATGTGTGCTAGGAACCTGCTCCAGGCCTGAGTGCGCAGGCTGGGGCTCCTCCACCGGGAGCTCCTGCAGGGGCTGCTGGCCTTGGGGCTCCATGAGGGGCTCCTCCTGCACCTGTTTTGTGCTCTCTTCCTGGAGTCTCTGGGGGGGTCTTCCACAGAAGGGCTTCCAGGGTTGCTACCGCTGGCTGCTGTCCCCAAGGCCCTGGGCTCTCAGCTTGGCCCAGGCCTCCCAGGGAACTCAAGGGGTGCCAAGCAAGGCTCCTGGGAGGTTCACAGATGGGCAGGGGCTGGGGAGGGCCAGAGAGAGAGAGGGCAGAGGACTAGCAGCAAGGGGCCTGCCACCCAGCCCAGGCCTAGGACAGGAGAGCGGAGAGTCAGGCAGGGCTGAGCCAGGGAATGGAGCACGTGAGCCTGTCCCTCCATTCCACGGAAGGGAAGACGGAGGGGCATGTGTCCAGACAGGGACCGAGGGCACCAGGACTCAGGTCTCTGATGCTCCCCATATCCTTTCCTTGGCCAGGGGTCCTGACTTTTCTCCCTAGTCCACAGGCTCAGACTGTGGGGTTTCCTGCCCACCAGAGATTACTGCTGCCGTCAGGTACCAGGGAAGCCTGTTCAGGCGTCCTGGGGGTGGCTTTCTTTGGCCCAGGCTCTGAGGCCTGCCTGAGGTCCCTCTGCTGCTTCCACTTGCCTGGTCTGAACCTGGTGTGAGCCAAGAGGCTCTGATGGAGTCAGAGCTGGCTCAGAGTGTTTTGGAGCAGAGATTTTTATGCTTTGGGCACACTGATGAAAGCCATGGCCTCTCCCCAGAAGAATGGGCTTTGCATATGTATGTATAATTTTTCTGGCCCTTCTTAAGAACTAGTCTAGACGGAGTCCACCGTTTCTGGTTCAGAGAGCTGAAGTGAGGAGGGGCAGAGTGAGGGGCAAAGCCGGGCCCCCACGTAGCCCAATCCAGTCTCCCACCAAGCCAGGGACCTCGCTCGCTCCGCACACACCAGCCCCTGCACTTACCCCCACACACCCAGCCTCTGGACTGCGTGGCAGGGCCCACTGGCCTGCATCTTTTCAGACTGTACCCTTGAGGTAGGCAGGGCCTGGGGGCCACCTCGGCTGGGGTGGGGACATTCAGGGCCAACGGAAGTAGGAGGAAAAGGCATGCCTGTGACTTTCATGTCCTGACTGTTCCTGGGGGCCAGCCCTGAGCTCCCACAGCCCCTGACCCCTGGCCAGCAGCTCCCAAGGGCACTTGGGGGCTTGGTGTGGGGCGTCAGTGAGAACCAGGGCTGTAGGAAGTGGGCGGGGCCTTGCAACTCCCTCTGTGATCTCATCTGAGTCACCAATGCCTTCTGGGCTAGCCTCAGGCACACAGGTGGCCAGGGTGGTAAGTCGCTTAGGCGGATGCTTCCCCCTAATTCCCACCCCCACTGTCAATAGCTAGAGCTGCACACAGATGCACACCAGCCTGGCCCTGGGGCTCCCGCTGGGCAGCTCCCAGAACGCAGGGGCTGAAGACGTAAACAACCCCAGGCTCCAGTCAGCACTGACTGGGCCCAGCTACTTTTAGGTCTCTGTGCCAGAGACGGAGGCTGCTGTCCAGAAGAGCCCTGAAAATGGGACAAGGCCCTCTTTGGGAGTGCCCCCAAATGACCAGACCCCACTGTCCAGGAGTCTGTGGAAAACCCGGGCCTGTTCTGGTTTGGCAGCCCTGACCCTCAGCTTCACAGCTGGAACCTCACAGTGGCCAGGGGGAAAGGCCATCAGGATGTGAGAACTAGTCAACCGTGAGAGGTGGCGGGGCCCTCAGGAGTCTCCTTATCCAAACCCCTCGGAGCTGACGGACCCAAAGGAAGGGAACGACTCACCCGAAGTGCATGGCAAACAGCTGGACTGGCTGGAACCTCAGCCTTGGCCCTGAAGTCAGGCTACTTGGCTTCAAATGCTACTCTAGCACTTCCTGGCTGTGTCATCTGAGCTTACCTCTTCTCATCTATAAAACGGGTTTGTTGTGAAGATTGAATATCATTCGAATTCATGTAGAACAGTTTGTGGGGTACATAGTGATAGAAAAGTGTGAGTTACTCCCAGGTTCCACCGCACTGTGCGCCGCCCCTACGCCCCGTGAGAAACAGGCAGGCGTGGCCCTGGACTCGAGTGCCTGGCCCCTGGCCGGGCTAGTCTGCGTTTCTCCTTGCCCCAGGCCCCTTGGGGCTGCTCCCCCTAACACTGTCCTTCCTGCTCCGGCACTCGGAGCTACTGTGCCCACCACTGTCTTGCTACACCCGAGTGAAACCCTTTGTCTTCCCGGGGGTGGGGGGCCCAGGGGACATCTGGAATTAGAAAAACTCTTAGGGATCATCTTATCCAAGCTCCTCATTTTGTACGTTAGGAAACTAAGGCCAAGAGGAGGGGACTGACCTGCCCATTGGAAAACAGTGATTTGGCTGTTGACTGATTCAAAAGACACTGACATCTATCTTGTTTTTTATTTATAAACAAATTGACATAAAATAAGTCCCAATAGCAGCAGGGCAGCGATGCTGCTGACCTGTTTATGAAGGAAGCATGTGGACCGTGGCCAGAGTGCAGTCAGGCTCCAGCCTGGAGACACTTTCCTCCCACCCACTTCAGGGCCTTCTTGGCCTAAAATCACTGGCGCAAACTTCTGCTGCAGCGGTTCTGGCCACGGCAGGAAGCTGTGTCGGGACGGTGCGGGGCAGGGCACTCCCACTCCCGCAGATCAGGCTGGGGCTGCAAAGGGCCCAGTGGAGGGAGAGAGGGCAAGGCAACAAGGACCCTTCCTCCCCAGGCTGAGAGATGTGGTCAAGGCCTTAGGGGTCTGCCTAGCCCAAAGAGAAAGTGCCCTGGGGCCACATCCTCTGTGGAGGGGCCACGCCTCTCTGGGACCAGGGCAGGGCAGTCTCTCTCCTCCTAAAGCCCCAGGTTTGGAGTGAGAGGAGTAGGAACTGAAGGGCTTGCCCCAGTGCCAGAAGCAATAAATTAGCAATGAGGAAAGATCTTTTTTAAAAAAGGTAGAGGTCGCACCATGAGTTTAAAGTCTGGGGAACTCATAGGAGAAGGCAGGAGCTGTGGCCAACAGTGCCACAGCAGGCCCAGCAGGTGGTAAGGGAACCAGGCGCAAGGGTCAGTTCAGGGCCCCTTCTTCCGAAGCCCAGGGGTTGGCTCCTTCCGCCATCACATGGTAGCTGTTCAGTCTAAACTTCTGGTGAGAGGCCGCCACGCTCGGGGAAATAAATAGAGGGCCTCGGAGCAGAGGCAGGGCTGAGGGAAGAGCAGTGCCAGCCCTGGGCCCCACACTCCCCCATCTCAGCCCTTCATGGAAGGACACGTCATGACAGGAGGGCAGCAGTGGGGTTTCCGCACAGCTTCCTGCAGTCCTGAGGTGGCCCCGAACCCCAGTGAGGACCGGGAGTGGGCCTGCTGCTTCCTGGAGGAAGAACACCAGCCCCATCCACTCCCCACTCAGGTGTCTGCGCCGTGCTTCCTGTTCAGAACTTGCCCTGCTTCAGCCGGTCAATGTGGTAGCAGAGCTTGAGCGCGGGCCCCAGCTTCAGACCCATGTACTTCATCATCATGTCACTGCGCAGCAGGAGCAGCGCCTTGCCGTCAATCTCCTGTGGGGGGCAGGCAGGGGAGGAGGTGCCATCAGAGGCCTGGTTGGTCTGACCACCCCAGGGAAGTACCAGCCACATGGAGTCCAGGGAACCTGCTATGACACTAAAGCCTACCTGGTCTCCCGCCTTCTGTCTCCAACCATCCCTCCCCCCAAAATATAATGCTGAGCCCAACCAGCTAAGCTGTTCACACATTTGCGCCAGTTTCCTTCCTCTGCTGCACCCTCCCAAACCTCTGGGATCCAGCTCAGTTCCACCTCGTCCGGGAAGCCTCCCCCGGCAGTGTGCTGGGCACTTCTCACAGCCTGTGTTTACAATGGTTGACCCTCAACTGTTACTCTGTGAGTCTTCCTCCTTCCTGTGCGGCTGGGACCCTCTGTGTGAGCCACACACAAGGCAGGCACTTACCAAGCAGCTCTGAGACCATCAGGCCTGAGCTGAGAGCACCCTCCACACCCACCTGGCATGAGTGATGTAAATGACCAACAAAAGGTGGCAGATCTCTTCTGACTGCCCAAGGGGCAGAACAGCACCAAGCAGCAGGGGTGATGGGGAAATGGTTTTGAGCCCCAAATCAGAAGAATGGTCAATGCAGGGGGTCAGGAGCAGTCCCTGGCCATAGGGCCAAATGGTCTCTTGAAGAGGTGTTTGAGGGGCTGGTAGAAGATGAGAGACTGATGAGGATGGAGAGTTGGGGGCCACTTGCCAAGGGACTCCTTAACTTGGGCTGTGGCCCCTTATTCCCAGGCCAAGGCAGGCAGATGGGAGAGCGAGGACAAGATGAGGGCCCGTCCCTGACGCTGAGCCCAGAGGGCGTACACCCAGTGGGAATGTGGCTGCATCAGACCCTACACTAGTGGAGTATGCTGAACGCAGTGCCCAGTGAGGACTGTTTGAGACCCCAGATGCTGTCTCTAACTTTGTATAATCTCCTGTGCTTGGTTTCAAGGGACCTGAAACAAATACATAGCCTGTGTCCTTAGGAGTCTACAAGTTGCAGAAGCAATACTCCCAGCGAGCGTGAGAGATCAGGCAGGGGCACTTACGTGTTTACGAAAAAGGTCAGCATGGGGTCCGAGCTGCGGGTCAGCTTCCCGAACAAACTGCATCACATCCTCGACTGTCCATGAGGAGGGGTCCCTGCCACTCAGTCGAGGGGCATCCCGGCTTTCCAGGTATCGGTCTGACCCTGCAGGACAGAAAGGTACCTGCCATTACGGGCGCGGACCGATTTGAACTCCCCGCCACTCCCCTTGGCATGTCCGGCAAGCCTCTGTGGGTGAGGCTAACAGCCTTGCCAGAGCACAGGGACCAGAGCGGGCAGAAGCAGCGGAGGGCTTTCTACAAAGTGTCTGAGGGGTTGACTCTTAAGCCAAATATTTGTCCTCTAAGGGTAGATCTACTTTGCAAATCATCAGAAGGAATTTAACATTGAGGCTGTAATTCATTTTGGACTTGAGTCGGGGTGACAATGAGGTAAACGTCATTACTTGGGTTCAGTGTGGGCCTTGACTCTGGGGATCATCAGAGAGACCTTGGGAACTGGGCAAGAGTAGATCCCAATCCCTGGGGTCTAGGGAGAAAAAAACAGTGGACACTACCCTTACTCTTCCAAAGACTGGGGATTAGTTGACCTCATATAGCCTAATGCTCAGAGGCAGAAAAACAGTTTGGCTTTGGCTACCAGAAAGCTCAACATTAATTTAGTGCCCTGCTTTTATCTCCATCAGGGCTCGGATCCAGCTCCTCCCATTTCCCCTGATGGACTTGGGATCCCTGTATTCTGATCACCACCTGCCACAGCATGTCTCTGGCATGTCTTATCCCCACTTCCTGGAGGGGGTCTCTCCTCTCCTTTCAATTTCTCTTCAGCAAACTCCAACTTCGCTAAGCGAGAGGTGGCTTTAAGGACCAGCTCCTTTATGCAACCTTTCCATTCTAATATTGAGATGATTGATCTTACAAAGCATTTCATATATCTTCTGGGTACAGTCCAATATCTACACACTTTTTCCCCATCACATCACTTTAATAATATATTCTCTTTAAAGCAGTCAAAGCACCCTTTAAAAAGTAATTAGACTGTGTCAATCCCTAAAAACTCAATGCAATGGCCTCCCACTGCACCTCATATGAAATCTCAACTCCTTGATCTTTTTTAAAAAAGGCCATTTGAGTAGCACAGTACTTTGGTATGTTCTATATTTTGATATTTACTTGGTGTCTTAAATTTGTTTCATTGTGGCATATTACACATAAAGGGGACAATTTTTAAGGGCAGAACTTGTTGGATCTTGACATTTATGTATTCCTGTTTCACCGCTATCCAGATCAAGATACAGATGCTCTGCCTCTTCCCAGTCAATGCCTCTCTCCCTAGTGGTGGCCTCTGCTCTGACTCTTCCACTGTCAGTTATGTGCTTGTTCTTGAACTTCATGGCCCTTGACTCACAGTATGCACACTTGTGTGTCTGGCTCCATTAACTCATCATTGTGTCTGGGAGATTCATTCTTTTTGGGGCATACAGAAATAGTTTTTTCCCTAAAAAAGTTTATTTAAAAAGACCATCTTTAACCAATTAAAAAGAGAAAAACATGCCTAAGTTTTCTTCTATTATTTTTTATGGTTTTGGGTCTAACATTTAAGTCTTTGATCCATTTTGAATTTATTCTTGTGTGTGGTGTAAGGTAATGGAGTTTCATTTTTCTGCACATATCTGTCCAATTTTCCCAATGCCATTTCTTGAAATAAGTATCTTTACCCCATTGTACGTGCTTGCTTCCTCTATCAAATATTAATCGACTATAAAGGTGTGGGTTTATTTCTGGACTCTCTATTCTGTCCACCGACCTATGTGTCTGTTTTTATGCAGTACCAGGCTGTTTTGATTACCATGACCTTTTTAGTATAATTTGATATTAGGTAGCATGATTCCTCCAAATGTGTGCTTTTTCAGGATCACTGTTGCTTTGTGGGGACTTTTGTGGTTCCATATAAATTTTTGAAATATTTGTTCTAGTTCTGTGAAATATGTCATTGGAATCTTTATAGGAATTGTGTTGAATCTACAGATTGCTTTGGGTGGTATGGACATTTTAATGTTAATTGTTCCTATCCATGAACACGGTATATGTTTCTACTTATTTGTATCTTCTTCACATTTTTTCTTCAGTGTCTTGTAATTTTCCAAGTATAGGTGTTTTATATCCTTGGTTAGGTTTATTCCTAGGTATTTTATTCTTTTTGAAGTATTTGTGAAAGGGATTGTTTTCTTAAATTCCCTTTCTGTTACTTCACTATTGACATATAAAAATGCAACTGATTTCTGAATATTAATTTTGTATCATGTTACTTTGCTGAATTCATTTATAAGTTCTAGGAGTTTCTTGGTAAAATTTTTGGGGTTCTTTATGCACAGTATCATATCATCTGCACATACCGACAGTTTTACTTCTTTCCAATTTGGATGCCTTTTATTTCTTCTTCTTGTCTGACTGCTGAGGCTAGGACTTCTACTACTGTGTTAAATAAGAGATGAAAGTGGATATCCCTGTCTTGTCCCTAATCTTAAGGGGAACGTTTGTAGTTTTCGTCCACTGAGTATGATGCTGGCAGTGGGTTTGTCACATATGGCCTTTATTATGCTTAGGTATGTTCTCTCTAATTCCACTTTGCTTAGAGTTTTTATCATAAACGGGTGCTGGGTTTTATCAAATGGTTTTTCTACATCTATTGATATGATCATGTGGTTTTTATCCTTCATTTTGTTTATGTGGTGAATCACATGTATTGATTTGCGAATGTTTTACCAACCTTGCATTTTCAGAATAAATCACACTTGATCATGGTGTATGATCTTTTTGATTCATTGCTGTATTGGTTTGCTAGTATTTTGTTGAGGATTTTAGCATCTATGTTCATCAGGGATATTGGTCTATAATTTTCTTTCTTTGTGGTGTCTTTATCTGCTTTTGGAATTAGGACAATGCTGGCCTTGTAAAATGAGTTTGGGAGCTTTCCATCCTCTTGAAATTTAGGAGGAGAGGTGTTAGTTCTTCTCATAATGTTTGGTAAAATTCACCTGTGAAGCTTTTGTCCAGGGCTTTTGCTTGTTGGGAATTTTTTGATTACTGCTTCAGTTTCACTTGGTGTTATCTGTCTATTCAGATTCTCTGATTCTTCCTGACTTAGTCTTGGAAGATTGTATACTTCTAGGAATTTATCCATTTCATCTAGGTTGTCCAGTTTGTTAGCATATAGTTGTTCAGAATATTTTCTTACAATCCTTTGTATTTCTTTGGTGTCAGTTATGATTTTTCCTTTTTCATTTCTGATTTTATTTCTTTGGGTCCTTTTTCTTTTTTTCTTAATAAGTCTGGTTAAAGGTTTGTCAGTCTTGTTTATGTTTTCAAAGAACCAGCTCTTGGATTCATTGATCTTTTGTATCATTTTTTCAGACTCTATTTATTTCTGTTCTGATCTTTATTATTTCCTTCCTTCTACTCACTTTGGTCTTTGTTTGTTGTTCCAGTTCTTTAAGTGTGAAGTTAGATTGTTTATTTGAGCTTTTTATTATTTTTTTGAGATAGGCCTGTAATGCTGAGAATTTCCCTCTCAGGATTGCTTTTCCAGTGTCCACAGATTTTGGATTGTCGTGTCCTCATTTTCATTTGTTTCAAGGTGTCTTTTGAGTTCTTCCTTGATCTAGTTGTTGACCCTTTCATTGTTTAATAACATGTTATTTAGCTTCCATGTATTTGCATGTTTTTCAGTGTTGTTCTTGTGACTGATTTTTAGTTTGATAGCACTGTGGTCACAGAAGATGCTTGATATAATTTCAATCTTCTTAAATTTACTGAGACTTGTTTTGTGTCCTAACATGTGGTGTATCCTAGAAAACGTTCCACGTGCACTTAAAAAGTATGTATATTCTGCTGCTTTAGAGTGAAATGCTCTGAAGATACCAGTGAAATCCATTTGATATACTGTCATTTAAGGCCGCTGTCTCCTTATTGATTTTCTGTCTGGAAGATCTATGCACTGAAGTCAACAGAGTGTTAAAATCCCCAAATACAACTATATTTCTGTCCATCTCTCCCTTTATGTTCATCCAGATTTGCTTTACATATTTAGGTGCTCCTATGTTGGGTGTGTAAATGTTTACTAGGGTTATATCCCCTTGTTGGCTTGATCCCTTTATCATTACATACTGTCCTTTGTCTCCTTCTGTAGTAAAGAACACATGGGCGTGCGGGGAGAGCGGCTCACCCAGCTCAGAGAGGGCATGGAGGCCCCACACCCCTTCCCCCTACCTTCCTTCTGCATCTCTTCTACCTGGCTATTCCGGAGTTGGATCCTTTCACAGAAAACTAGTAATCTAGTAAGTAAACAGTTTTTCAGAGTTCTGTGAGCCACTCTAGCAAATTAAGTAAAATAAGGAGGGGATGGTGGTAATCTCCAACTTACATAGTCAGTCAGAAGTACAGGTAACAATGGAGACTCTCAACTGGCTTTTGAAGGAGTGGGGGTGGGTTAGCAGCCTTGTGAGCCCGAGCCCTTAATCTGTAGCAGGATTGATGTTATCTCCAGGTAGTATCAGAACTGAGCTAAACTGCAGGACACCCCGCTGGCTGTGTGGAGAACCCACAGGTTGGGTTTCAGAAGTGCAGTAGTGTTGAACAGAGTACTGAAAGTAGGGGAGACACACGGGAGGAATTTTCCCGTTAAAGTCCCCAGCACACAAGAGTGTCTGATCAGCCACAGATGTTCAAATGCGTTTGTTAAATGAATGAATGAGCAATTACTTGTGTATTTTTCTGTCTCCCCTGCTAGACTGTGTCTGTCTTCAGACAGGGACCTTGCCTTGTTCATATCTGTATTCTCACTACCCAGGGAATGCCCAGTCATATGCTAAGTGGCAGAGCTGGAATACACCTGTGGAAATAGAAGGAACCTACTCTTTAATTACCTTTGGCAAAGGCTAAAAATATCTTCTCATTTTTCTGCATTCTGGGTCCCAGATCTAAAAGTCAAAGTTTAGTTTGCTTGGCCTAGCCCCTGCTCCCTGTATTAGAGACTCTAGCAATTATTTATGAAGCTTGTGGTTGGGCACTGACTGAGCAGACCAGGGAAGAGGTGTGCTGGAGCAAGCAGAGGGGATTAGAACCACAGAAATTCCGATGGCTTTTTAGAGGTGGTAGTAGAGAAGAAGTTGGAGAGAGCTCCGTGGGAGCCAGCCACTTCTTCAAAGTCTGCTGTGATGCTAAGACAGAAACCAAGTGCAGAGATTATGGAGGGCAGAGAGAAGATATACAACTGAATGTCCTTCTTGGACCATCTTAGCTAATCCCTCTACCCAGGGGAGCTAGGAGTTTCACATGCATGCATACATACAGAGTATTATATGCATGTATATAATGGTGTTATATATAAATATACACATATATACAGCCACATATATACTATTATATGTTATGTGTTGTTTGTCAGCCTATTCCCCTTAGAATGTATATTCCACTGAGATGAAGACATTTGAGCAAAGACCCTGAGGCAGAAGAGTGATGGGCATGCTTAAGGTTTAGCAGGGAGGCCAACGTGCCAGAGCAGAGTGACTGAGTAGAAGTGGCAGGAAATAGCATCTGGGAGGTGTGCATGTGTGTGATGGGTCAGGGAGAGTGATGGTGCAGATAAAGCGGACCTTGTATGCCACTGAGAGATGATTGGCTTTTCTGAGTGTATAGGTTTGTTTTGAGCACAGGAGTGAGAGGGACCGATTTACAATGAAAAGGATTGCTCTCACAGTCTGTGCTGATGATAGACGTTAGGGGGCAAGGACAGGAGTGAGGGAGACTGGCTGTAAATGACAGTCCAGACAGAGAGAGGGATGTGGCATGCACCAAGGGGCAGTGGTGAATGTGGGGAAGAGCGGTCTGGTGTATGAACATTATAAAGAACCCCCATCAGCTCATCTAACCCCTAAATAACTCTTGAAGGAATTACCATCATCTTCACTTTAGAGACGAGAGAACTGAGGCCCAGAGAAGTGAACTGACTTGCCCAAGAGCATGCAGGCAGGAAGGAGAACAGTTGGTACCCTGTCTCTGTCTTTTCCTGTTCACATTTTTTCAGACAGACTGTGTCAGGGTTCCTTCCCTCCACCCAGTGGGTCCAGGGGGTGGTCACTCTCCAAGGAAAGGAGCGTGTCTCAGTCTGAGAATGACTACGGCAGGTGAGGCGCCCCCACAGAGGCCAGACTAACAAACTGATGCCCAATTGTCCTGGAGAGTGAAATAAGAGGGGACAGACTTGGCATCCATTACATTCTGTGAGGGAAACAGTTTTAAGGGCAAACAGAGTGGAATCCTTTCATAGCCTTATTAGGTTCTTCATGGTCAGAAGAGATGAGCATGACCTGGCCCACAGACTCAATGTATTCCAAAGGAAGAGTGGAGATGCCTGGGGGACAACAGTGCCCTGTGAAGCACTCCTAAGTGGCCTTGGAGAAAGTCACAGTAACAGTAACACCCTCATACCTGGGGAATGAGTTAGTTTCCAAAACGATCCCATATCCCTGCTTCCATCTGATCCTTTTAACACTCCTGTGGAAAGACCAGGGGGATATCACCATCTCCATTTGCATATGAAGAACATGCAGATGTGTGAGGTGAGATGACTTACCCAAGTCTCAAGGCAGGGAACCAACTCTCAGCTCTACCTCTACTTCAGAGCCTCTCACACTCCATGTGCTGTCTCACTGGGGTCGGGGTCGGGGTCGGGGTCGGGGTCGGGGCCTCCCAGACTTCTTCCCCTGTCAGCCTTGCTGAACACTCTCTCTCCTGAGGTCCTTCTTTCCACTGCAGGCCTTGCTAATAGAGCTTTCTTATTCTGTCACCTCCCACACATCTCTGGGCTGGGAGAGGCCACAGTGAGGGTGTGGGGGTGGCATTCTCCTGTCTCCCAATGGCTGCTTTTAGACTATCTTCCTATGAAAGCTCACGTTCTTCAGAGGCCAAACATGTATTTTTCCACCTGCCCTTCCTGATCATTGATGTCTATAAATCTCTGGGTTTCTACCCCTTGTTCAATGAAGCCTTTTTTTTTTTATTACTTAGCTCACTACCTTCTATTCCACCCCAATTCTTGCCATAATCCTCAGAGGCAATCCATTCAACTTCCTTGCCTCCGCAGGTACATTTCACTTCAATACCTACTACCAAGCTCACTGCCTGGTTCTTGCTATCAACAAATTCATTTCATAATTTTAAACATCCCATTTTCTGACCCAACCTCCTGTCTTTCCAACCGTGTCGTGACTTATGTCCATCATAACCATTATATCACCTGATCATGAGCACATCAATCTTACAATTTTCCCCAACCTTCGGATGTCTCTCAGCCTTGCTTCTTCCCCACCCTCCCCAGATCCAGTGTTGATCTAAACTCCTCTCCCTCCAGCTCCATCAATTCCTTCACATGCTCCCTCATTGCCTGAACCCAGGCCTCTATTGCTTCTGGTCTGGCCCACGCTAGCAACCTCTAACTGGTCTCTCCAGCCTTGTTCTTCCTCACAGCCATCCTCCACATGGTAGTCAATGATCCATCGAAAGCACAAACCTTTTAGGTCTTGCCTCTAATTAAAAGCCTTCAAAAACTTTGCATTGCCTTTAAAGTCAACTCTAAACTCTTTAATGTGGCACTTAAGGTCTTCTATGGCATAACCCTGACCTTTCCAGGCTTTTCTCTTTGATGCCTCAGTATTATCTTTGGTTTCAGCAACACCAAATGGCATATAGCTCCTGGTACAATCTGCTAGTTCTTTCCCTTCACCCTTGTTCATGCTGTATTCTCTTTCTGGAAAGCTCTCCCTTCCCATATCCCTCCTGAGATTGCCATTCATACAGTCACTCTTTAAATCTCAGGGTGTCATTTCCTCAAGGAAGCTTCCCTTGGATGCCAAGCTTGTGTTAGGTGTTCCTTCTTGCAGTTTTTATACTAATAGGGAATATCTCTGTAACTGCACTCAAGACGTTGTTTTACAATTACCTGTTTAGGCATCTCTTCCACACTACTGTGAGCTCCTTGAGGACAAGGAGGACCAATTTTTGCATCCCCATGCCAAACACATATGGTGTTCAAATAAATAGCTAACGAAGGAATCAATGAATCTTTTCCTGTCCCTTTGGCTCTAGGTCTTAGTTTCCATTATCTCAAGCCAATCCCAGAGTTTCAGTTGCCTCCCAGGTGCCTAGCAGACTCCAGTCTAACCACCAAGCAGAAGGCAAGAGAGCAAGGTCCTTTCTGGATTCCCAGACCTTAGGAAAGAAGGGGAGAAGGAAAGAGTGAGGGAGGGAGGGAGTGCCAGAACTCCGGTGAGCTTACCCCTGGAGCACAGCCTACGCACAGCTGAGGCAGTGCTCAGCGGGAGGCCACAGGATGGAAGCAAAGGCCGGTACCCAGAGGTTCGAAGATTTTGGGAGGTGCTGACAAGGTTGGTGGGATTCAAGGTAGAGTCCATTGAGTCTGAGTGTGGCTCCAAGGACCGGGCCAGACTATTCCCCAGGACAAAGTTTTCACCTGAAAACCAGTAATACCAGAGTTAGAGAAGGGACTAACCTCAAGGGACTGCTGGGGTGCTGGCTCCCAGGTACCTGTTTGGGTGGAGCAAGAGGCAGCAAAATAGCAAGTCCCAGGCTGGGTCTTAGGAGGCCTGTGTACCACTCATGGCTCTGGCTCTCACTCGGTGGCCTTAGTTAAGCTTAGTGCCACTCTCTGGACTTGGATCTCCTTAAAGACACTGTCCCTTAGACTAGATGGTCTTTGAGATTTCTTCTGTTGTAGACATCTTATGCTCTTTCTGGATAGGAGAACCTTAAAAAAATAGGAAGAGGCTGCCTTATACATGAGATACTAGAGCAGAGAATAGGATGCTGGAGAGGAGATGTGTGTGCTTAGACAGGGCACTTTAGAAGCTGACTCTTTCAAACAGCAGGGCATCTCAGAAATGCTTCTTGATATGTGGCTAAGGGTCTTTCTGCAAAGGATCTGCTCTTATGTTCTTGCCTTCTTTCTTATATGCCTTGTTCTATAGAAACGTTCCAAGGATGCCGGATTGTAAAGTGGTGAGAGTGTGGGCATAGGACCAGAATCTGGGTTAGAATTTGATTCTGCCACTCAGCAGGCAAGGAGATTCCCTCAGAACCTCAGTCTCCTTATCTGTAACAATGGAAGTCCCTTTCTTCTAGGGGGTTTGTAAATATCAAAAGGAAGTGGCTATGCAAGCCTTTGTAAAGGGAATCTCATCCTGACATTTCTACCCCCAGGCCACGACCCCTAATTATTGCACTACAGAAAGTGAGCAGACTCTGTCTCATGACTGGGTTCTACACATACCAAAACATTTCCCTAGTCCTGATCACAGCATTCGCTACTTATAGGGGGCAGGGGGTTGTCTTGGGTACTGGACCTTATCAATGTCCTTTGTGGTTTTTCTTAGAGTTCAGGTGTTTAGATAATGTTTGGGGTTCATTCAGGGCCTCTGATAAACACTAAATTCAAGCACAGTGTCTGGCATTCAGTAAGACCTCTGTGGCAAGATGGTTTAGGATTTTAGAACTGCTTTCCGCTATTTACCTAAAATTTCTTGGTAACCACAGGTTTAAAGTCAAACTTAGCATGAGACAGATTTCACTGCTATCTCAAGCAATTTAACTGGTGAAACCCTCACATAGAAATTATTCCGAGCCCTGGCTGGCGTAGCTCAGTGGATTGAGCTCGGGCTGGGAACCAAAGTGTCCTAGGTTCGATTCCCAGCCAGGGTACATGCCTGGGTTGCAGGCCATAACCCCCAGCAACCGTACATTGATGTTTCTCTCTCTCTCTCTCTCTCTCTCTCTCTATCTCCCTCCCTTCCTTCTCTAAAAATAAATAAATAAAATATTAAAAAAAAATTAAAAAAAAAAAAAAGAAATTATTCCGAAGAGAGAAGTCTCTGAGCCCCAGGATACCTAAACCATATCCACTCCCGTTCTCAGGGGAGGTTCCAGACCTGCTTTCCCAGAGAGATGACAGTACCATTGTCCTGCTTTGAGACAAGAACAGGAAACATAAGGCCGGGGTACTGTGCCTCAGCTCCTTGCCTTGCACTAGGTGTGTGACCCCAGGCAGGTTGTTCGTCTTCTCTGAGCACCAGTTTCTTCATCCATAAACTGGGAAAAATCACCCTTTCTTATGCTGAGAAGGTCAGATGAGGAAATGAAGTGAGATGACTTTACAAAGGTGGAGAGTTATTATTCCATTCTTCATTCATAGACTGGCAAACCTAGTTCTCTGAATGAGCTCCAGAAAAAGATGAAGTTGAGTTTCCCCATCTATCAGCAGGGGAACCTCACCTTTCTAGTCTTCGTTTTACTGAGTGAAGACTGGGGATAATACCACCTGCCTCACAAGAGCTAACAGATGTGAAAAAGAATGATGATGACATGGAGCTCACCAGATGCTGATGCAAGTCAGTGCCTTTTCCTCTCAGCGATGCTAAGAATGGTAACTGACATTCATATTTTGAGTTGCTGGGCCCAAAAATCTGGACTGGTGGCACCTGGATTAAGCAAGGCCATTAAGTCATCCTAATGAGATGCAGCAAAAAAATCACACCCGAGGCTCTGGAGGTCCTAGTCCACTTAGGGCTGATCCACGAGGCCCTGGCTGCCTTCACCAGGACAATAGCAGGACAGAAGATTGCAGTGCGTTCCAGCTGTGTTTCACAGGGCCCTGGTGGCCCCCAGAGGGGAGCCAAGGAAATAGAGCTCTGGGTCTCATTCCAGTTTCTATCAAAACAGCTCTGGTTTTAACTTTTATACACCAGAGTTTCATATAATCTTACCTCTGCAAAAAAGGTGCTCTACTGTTAAAACAAAACAAACTTTGAAACCACTGGCCCAGGGATCAGAAATAGGGACTGGAAGACTTGAGTTCTATTTCTAGTACGAGTATGAGTCAACAATCATAGCTCCCCACCCCCCACCCCTGCGATTCATTTTGCCATTCTATAAAATAGAGATGTAAACCCTAACTTCATAAGGTATATGTAAATTAAATTTGCTGTTGATATGCTGGAGACATGAGAACAATTAATATGAAAGGGAGCTCATTCATTCACTCAACAAAAATGTGTTGCATACTCTGTTTGTGAGCCACTATGCTAGGTATGGGGTATGTAGAGGTAAACAGACAGATAAGGACCTTGACCTTAAGAATTTATTTTCAGTGAGTGGCAGATCTCTTGAGTATCGCATTGCAAGGCTGACCTTAAAAACTAGAGTTCCCAGTGGAGGATAACCAGAGTGCTGGTGAGAGGCAAAGATGAAAAACCTGGTAGTGTAGAATCTGGAGAAAGGTCAGAGGAGAAAAACCCCCTAAAGACAGTCATGGGATGGGAAGGGGCCTGGAGGTAGAGCTGGTCTTTTGGAAGGCACAAAGTAGAACAGTGAGCAGGAGTTATAAGAAGGCGATTTCAGCTAAAAAGGGAGGCATTTTAGCATTCAGAAGTATCTAAAGTAAAATTGGTTGCCAAAGGTGATAGTAAGCAACCTACTGTTAGGAGTATTTTGAGCAGAAGCCAGTTGACCACCCTTGTCTGCTGGGGTACACAGGAGGTCATCTCCACAGCACTTTCTACTTCTGAGATTCGAGGGACTGGATCAAATGAAGGATGAGGAACAGGATCAAAGGTTTGGGGCAAAGGACTGTAGAGAGAGACCATGGGCTATGGAAGTTGCCAGGGAAAGGAATTAAGAATGGATCAGAAGCAGGAATTGACAGCGAGAAGTATGAACAACTACCAGGAAAATGTAACCTTATTCTGGGATGGGGTTTATTTTATTTTATTTAGATTTGAATATCAAGAGAAAGGAAAATCCCCAAATCTAGGAGGACTCACAGAGTTCTGCAGAAATCTCCAACTAGTTTTCCTGCTTATACTGTGTTGCTACATTCCAAACCACTCTCCCACACAGTATCCTGAGTGAGCTATCTAAAACACAAATTTGATTGTCACTTCCCTGGCTCAAAACATTTCCGTGGGTCCTCACTGCCCAATGATACCGTTTAAAGTATGTAACATGGTCAATCAGGCCTCCTTGAGTGGGCCTCTGCCTGCCACTCCAGCCTCGTCTCTTACAGGATGCTATTTTTTCTGGAAAGTCTTAACCTGACACACCTCGTTTGAACTTTTGAACTCTGAACTTGTCCTATTCAAGTATTCATTACCATGAAATTAACTATTTGCTTATTTGTTTGTATTTTTTACCAGGCTGGAAACTGTGGGAGTAAAGACCTTGCCCTCTAGTTTACAATGGGATCTTCCGTTTCTAAATCAGAGGCTGGCATTGTGTAGTCAGTAGATACTGGGCTGACTGTCTGACTAAATGATGGAATCAATAGTTTAATTATGAACATTTGGGTCATCTTAAAACTCTGACAGTTCTGTGAGGAAACAGAGTGTAGGGATGAAGGGACATCCTAAGAGAACTCAGTTTTTATTTGGTTTTAATCACTGTGCATTTGGGGATTTGGAGAACCACTTCATAACTAGCTCAGAAGACCTGGATGGCAATTTGAAAGACAGGCACGAGGAACCTATTGTCACGGGAAAAGTGAACCACTTCCTCTAGCAGAGTGGAGCCTGGGCAATTCCAAAACAGCAGGCCTAGAGTTAATGCCAGGTGGATTTCAAGGGCTAGAATGCATGTTCACTGGGACCAGCTAAATTAACGCTATCTACTGTCTAATACTGTCAGTTGTGTAGAAAGCCAGAAGGAGCTCCCTCTCAATCTTCACAGGACTCCTGCTGGATGTAGATGTGCGTAGCGCTGAAGAAGGGACTCCGATCTGACATTGCCCGCCCCGACTCCATCCCCACCCCAGCCTTCCCCAGGAATCCTTTCCTGACATCTGCTTTCGCCTTGCTTCTTGCTCACCACTCCTGACTGGGCCTGAGGACCTCCATGCTCTCACCATGCACATGTTCACCTTTTTCTCCCTCTCTCAGGTGGGACTCTTTCAGGGCAGGGATCGTGTGTCTCATCTCTGTCTCCCCAGAGTCAATATGGGATCTGGCACAGAGTAAGTATCTGATAAATGTTTGATGACCTCAACCAAAACAACGGGCTGGATTCTTCAAAATGCCAATGTCACGTCATGGAAGGTGGGAAAAAGGCTAGAAAACTGCTCTAGATAAAAGGAAACTAAAGAGACAGGACAACTAAATACAATGGATGATCCTTCACTGGATCTTGCATTAGGTTAAAAAAAAATACACAAAAAGCAAAAAACAACTATAAAGAATATTATTGGCATAGGGAACATAGCAGTAATATTGTAATAAGTATTTATGGTGCCAGGTGGGCACTTGAAGTATCAGGGGGATAATTTTGTAAAGTATATATGACTGTCTAACCACTATGCTGTACACTCAAAAGCAATGCAAAATAATATTGAATATATACTGTAATTGAAAAAAATTTAAATAATTTTAAAAATTAAATATTTTACTGTAAAAAAAGGACATCATTGGGAGAATTGGGAAAATTAAACATGAATGTTGTCAGCTACAGCTGATCTTTGAACAGTGCAGGGACTGGGGGCACCTGCTACCCCACCTGTTCCCCATCCCCTCACCCCCTGCCCCCACACAGCTTAAAATCCACGTTTAACTCTTGACAAGAAGCCTTACTGACAACATAAACAGTCAATTAATACATATTTTATATGTAATATACATTATATATTTATTCTTCCAGTAAAGTAAGCTAGAGAAAATAAAATGTCATTAAGAAAATCATAAGGAAGAAAAAGTGCACTTATAGTATTTATTGAAAATAATCCACCTACAAGTGGACCTGTGCAGTTCAAACCCATGTTGTTTCAAAAGGGTCAACAATACTGGATTTTATGAATTTCTTGAGTGTGATGATAGTATTATGTTCCTTGTTCTTAGGAAATACAAACAAAAGTATTGAAAGATCAAGTCTCTTATCTGCAGTTAACTCTCAAAAGGTTTAGTAAATGAACAAAAAACATGGATATATATATATGTACATATACTTAGAGAAACAGATAAAGTAACTATTGTAAAAAGTTAAATGGTAAATCTAGGTGAAGAGTACGTGGTTGCTCATTGTACTCCTGTACAACCTTTCTGTAGATCTGAAATTTTTCAAAATAAAATGTTGGCGACAAAACATTAAGCCTTCACTTAGGTAAGGAAGCCTAACGAGGTATGTCAGTTAGGCCAAGACTCTACAAGGTGGACAGTGTGCAAATGAACCTGTAGGGAAAAGGACTCCAGGAAGTACCTAGATAACAGAGACGGCACCTTTGGCTGTGAACTAGCAGAAGAATGTAACAGAGCAGGAGGGAGGGAGTGATAATCACCAGATCCAAAGGGCACCTTGGACAGTCCTTGTCCAGATCAAGTTATTTGGCAGAGGTTTGGGTAGCTAATCAGAAAAGTACAGGAAATGATAAATGATCAGAGGTGGGACAAAGGGGTAGTAAGGCGGGCAGGCAGGTAGGCAGGCAGAGAAGATGAGTGAAGGAGAAGCACAGAGGAATCAGAAATCTAGGCAATGCTCTGACTTGTCTGGGCAGAGTTAAAATGCTCATTTCAGGGAAGCAAATAAAAACCAGGGTGAGAGCAGCCAAGTTGCTGGGCACCCACTATGAGAAACAAAGGTTAGAGAGCACAAGAGGGTGCAGAGAGTTGGCTGAATCTGTCTGAAAATGAGAGAAAGGAAGGGGGAGAGCCAATGGCAGAATGTGATAGCCCTGGTATTGGTGTCTTTCTTGATGAGGCAAGAAGGAAGAGTGGCTTAAGCTTGCTTCCTCCTATCTGAATCAGAGTTGAATCAGAGAGATGCAAACTGGCATTGAATTCCCAAGAAAGGTCATGCCCTCAACCCCAAACTACCTTTGAGACTGCTGGTCCATGGTATACACCCCTGACAGTGTCTGCATGTGGCCACCAGTACGTTTCTCTTAGTTCTTAAGGACCATATTCCACTGAGGAATTCTGAGTTGCTATTTCTTTGAGAAATGTGTCTTTAGTTTAGCAGCTACACACATGGGCATGCTATTCCCTCTAATGTAACCATTCTTCCAGAATCCCAGGTAGGCCTAACTTTCATTACTGAAGTGCAGCTTAGAGTTTCTGAGGGGTATGTGGGTATGTAACAGCCTGCCTTTCACCAACTCTACCATGCCCAGTAGAACATTCTAGCTGTAAGAAAGAATGCCTTTTTCAAAAAGTTCTCAAAGATTCTGATGCTGAAAGAAAGCAACCTAGAGCAGCTTAGGTGAGAGAAAGGATCAGTGAAGGAGTCACAAATATGTCTGCAGGAACCAGAGGGTCTGGTCTCTACAAGCAGTATTTGAAATTCAGGTATATTTTTACAAGTTCCATAAGCAATGCTCATTTGGGTGCAAAAATAGAGGGTTGGTGGTGGCTGCGGCTGGGTCAATAGTCACTGCCCAGGGCACTTTCGTCAGAAGTGGCACTTTTTTCAGAAGTGAGTTTGTTAAGACGATGGTAAAAAGACTACAGGGAAGGCAGTGTGGGAACAAGACTTGTACAGAAGGTCAGTAGGGGGCACCTTTCAATTTATATGCTCCCCCATGAACAGCCAGCACAGCCCTGAAACTGAGAGCACCACCTCTCTATTCCTCTGGCCAGGACAAAGTCCACAGGCTCCTTTAAAGGGCCTTTCCTCCCTCTCTCAACAATGACCTACCTCGCTACGTTTTGGGCCGAGCTTTCCTTCCCTTCCTGTCGGCTGTGTCCTGGGCTCCAGATTAGAGATGCCGCGTTCCATTCACTCTTTAACCTCTCTCGGAAGTGCTTAGTCACTGATCCGGCCACGTGGCATCCGCTTTCCCGCTGTGGGTCTGGTATGTTAACTAAGAAAGTTATTTTCCAGCCTAGTTAGAAACAGCAGGAACTTGAATTGACTTGCTAGACTGGCAGTGCTGGAGGAGTTAGGGCCACGTGCCAAAGGAAAGAGTGGATGGCCAATCACCAGGGAGCAAATTTCTCAATCTGTAGCTTGCGACTAAACCTTCCCGCTGGCAAGGGAGCTCTATGGTAGGCCTCTGCTGCCAGATTTACACTGGGAGATGTACTGTGACTTTGCAGTGGCTCTACATGCAGTTTGGAGCTCAGAGGGAGACTCCTGAACCACTTTTTCTAGGAATAACAATCCAGAGGAAAGAAGGTTCATCCCAGAGAGAGGGGACAAAATCCTGAAGAGAGAGTAAAGGTAAGAGGAGACCAAAATGTCCCAGATATGACAAAGGTTGGGGACAGAAAGCCAGACCTCTGGAAAATAGGTGCCAGCATAGCAGGTCTGAGGGCTGGCCGTGGGCCCTTGCTGGTGCTGCTACTGGCTCTGCACCCTTTCTTAGCCCAGGCCCCATCCCAGCTCCTACCTGGTAGGTACCTGTCGTGGCTGTGGCCGTACTCTGTGGTGGTGAGTGACAAGTGAGTCTGTGTAAAGGGCTGGTTGCCAAACAGATTGTCACTGCGAAGGTTGTGGCAGAGTTTCTCCAGAAAGCGGAGGACGTAGGTGATGCTGTTGACGGCTGGGAGGTTGAGGGTGTGCTGTTCACGGTCAAACACAGCTGTGGAGTGAAGTAAACAGGGCTGAGCACATCAGCCGGGCATGCAGCGCAGCACTGGGCAGGAGGAGTTCAGCCCACAGCTTGCCTCAGGATTACCTGCTTACACAAAGGCAATCAGTGCCCCAGTTTTCTCCCTCCCTCCCTCGAGGGTATGATTTTCGCCAACTCCAAAGGACTTGCAATAATGGGAGTGGCCAGGCCAAGTCCCTTGCACCTGGGGCTCTGGAATGATTTTATGCAACTTGTGAAAACAACTGCAAACATAATTCTATCTGCTCCATCAGTTGGCTGGGCCTTGTCCAGGAAATCTGTTCATTCTGTGTGCTATTTCCCTAAGCACTGCCTGAGAACAGAAGCTGGGCAGAAGAGAATATAGCCTTTGCAGCACTGGTTTGGTGAACAATCCAATCTATGTAAGAGCACTAGAATTTCGGCAACATTGGGAACTATGCCATGCTGTGTTTAATTTCACTCTTTTTCCATTCAAAAAGTATCTGTATAGCCCTTAAAAAGCTAAGATCTCTGCAGTTGTGTCTGAGAGCAGCAGGAAATGGGGAGAAATGTCATTCTCAGGAACTAGTTTTGGGGCAGAGAAAGGACCCTACAGGAGGTATAGGTGCTAGGAGCTAAGGAGAGGCAGCAAAGAAAGCCAGGTTCCTGCAGACTGCTGCACAGAAGGAAAGGAGAGACCAGTGGTGGCTTCTGCCTCAGAAGGAAAGGAAGGCTTGATTTCCTTTGCAGTTCTCCGCCTTCTGTAACAATTCCTCCCCTGCCTGCCGCATCCTCTTCTCAGCCAATTACTCCCTCGCCTGGTCTCCCACACTACCCTGCCCGTATTTCTCTATTGTCACGTCTCTCACACGTAGCTGTGAGATATTATTCCTTTTCCACCAGGGCAGTGCCTGAGACTGTCATCTTCCTTTTTCCCCGTCCCCAGCCAGTGTCCTGGCAATAACCTCTGACATATAGTAAGGGCTCAATAAATGTGTTCCAAAAGAATACAGTTGGATTATTTATGGGTTTTTCCACGTCAGCTGCTTCTTGAGGCCGAATACTGCGATGTGTTAGAAGGAAGGAGTGGGAGATTATGGAGTAGCATACAGTTAAAATTGAGAGGCTTTAGGTCAGGTCTTCATGGGTTTGGTGGGTAAAGGGTTTTGGACTTAATGAAAACTGAAACAGAACAGGGGCACAGCAGAAAAATTAATTATTCTCAGTGAAAACAACAAAACACTGTGCAGCTGACTCAGATTCTCACAGCAGGGAAGAAAGAAGGAATGGCTCTTCCCACTCTGCCCTGGGGTTTAACTCCCTTGTGTCAGGGCTGGCTCAGAACTGGGAAGCTAAGGAGTCAAAAGAATGAAAGAAGAGTTCGAGGTTCCCTCATGCCAGGTGGGAGGCTGTGGCAGTTTGGAGAAACTCTCCTGTGGCCACAGTACAGCCTCCTCTTGCGTCTCCTATCTCCTGGGGTGCCACACTCACATATTTTCTGTATGGAGAGGCTAAGCAGGCAGACAGTAGAGGAATCTGTTTAGAGGCTCAGGACTCTGAACAGTCTGCATGGGTACTCTACTTGGCAGAGGTATGCACGAGACTCAGAGAGGCTCTGGGTGCAGAAAATGAGGACTCTCTGTGGAAGAGTACACCTTCACCCTTCTTTAGAGCCTTCAGGTGTGAAGTGGGAACCAGGATGGGCTGTCAGAAATGAGCCAGTTGAGAAGGCCTCGCCCTCTGCCTGGGAGGCCATACTGGCCCGAGGGAGCTTACCTGAGATAACCTCACCACCGTGGCCCTGTTTGAGGAAGCTGAAGACAGTTTTCTGGTGATAAGCACAGTCAATGCAAGCCTGGACAGCCTGCTGCAACACCACAGAGGCGCGGGCTGGCCCGAAATGGTCAGGGAGCTGCTGGATCTTCTTCTTATCTAAGTGGGGGCCAGTGCTGCCGTTCTTGTTCAAGTAAATACAAACTGCAGGAGACAAAGAACTGAATTAAAGAGCCGTACAGAGTACTTGGGATAGAGAAGTTAGATAAGAGTGCTCTCTTCTATCATCTCTCCCCTGGACTCTGGTCCCGGGCAGGACTCCCAGCTGCTAAGCTAGTGACACACTGTGGGAGGGGGCAGAGGGTGGCTGTGCCCAGCTGCTTCCAGCCCAAACTGCATGACCAAAGGCTCTGGGAACACAGCCTGCTGGAAGAACAGCCTGACCAAAAGCCAAGGCACGGAACTTGCACTTTGTCTCCTGTGCACTAAAGAGAAAATCTAAACAATTTCATAGATATACACACACATATATATATACACACACATTCATTTTTGGTACTTGGTTGCCTCACATGTTCTTTATGTATCTTACCTTATATGTGTAAGGAGTTGTGCGGCCATGGCAATATTAGCAAGACTATGGTTGTGTGTGTGTGTGTGTGTGGTCTTGGGCTTAGAATAGTCACACTACTGGTCACTTGCCTTGCTTTCTGTTCTGGACCTTGGAATCCCCTTTTTATCTTCCATATCAATACTCAGGCCCAAAGAAAGCAGTAAAAAGAGGAAAAAATGGGATGAAGAAAAACATGGAAAGGACTTGAGGGTCCCAATTCAGATGTTTGTTTCAGGAGTTTTTCCTGTTAAGACAGCTGGGCACTCTCCTAACCGGCAACCCTCCAACTGGCACTGTGTGGGGTGGGGGATGGGTGGGCACCGGAGACAGAGGCCGTCCTAAACAGAACTGCTTCCTTGGTCTCTGGAGGCGACTCACCAAAGCCTACACAGCTATGACATTCTCCCTGCTGACCTGCCTTCTAGGTTTCCACTTGAGTAGGGGTACTCTCCTTTCCCACACTGAAGGGGTTGGAGGGCAAAAAGTCTCTTTTGTTATTACAGGCCAAAAAGATAGGAAGGATGGCTGTGTGGGTTGTGGATGAACTGCCGCCCTCTATGGGCCTCGCGTCTACCACCTGTAAAATGAGGGGCTGGGCCAGATGCTCTCTGAGGGTTCTCCCACCTTTATCATTCTGATTCTAAGGGGAAGCAAGGTAGAGAGAAGAAAATGATAAACAGAAAGGGAGAGAAAGGCTGTAGAAAATGAGAGGTGAAAAAAAGGATAAATCAGATGAATTGAAATAAATATTTAACTATGTTTTCTCCTAAAACCCATTAAAATGAGCCAGATAACAAGGGAAGACAGCATAAAATTTTGGAAGCAGGAAAGCAGACTGGCAAAGTAGTAACTGACTCAGCAGATCTAACAAAGCTGAATCCTTAACCAAAAATGGGCAGTGATGAGAACCAAGCTGTTTCATCTTATAATTCACAAAAGACCCAAGAATGGGCAGGTGCCTCTGGAGGTAGGTGTGGAGGGAGAGCTAACAACTGAAGGATTGGTTGAATCTGTTAGAAATAGGACTTCCATGTCAAAGCATGACTTTTTTGCCCTGGCCGTGTAGCTCAGTAGGTTAGAGCATTGTCCCGATATGCCAAGGTTGAGGGTTTGACCCCTGGTCAGGGCACATACAAGAAGCAACCAATTAATGCACAAATAAGTGAAACAACAAATTGATGTTTTTCTCTCTCTCTCTTTAAAATCAGTAAAAAATTTAAAACATGACCCTTTTGCTGAAAACAAAATAAAAATGCAAGAACTCAAAGAGATAAGAAGACTAATAAAAAGAAATGAAAACTCTGTAAGGCTGTTCATAGCAGCTTAGTCATAATAGTTCAAAACATGAACCAATCCAAATGTCCATAAACAAAAGAACAGATATACAAATTGTGGTATCATCACTTATTAAAATATCACTTGGCAGTAAAAAATAACAAACCATTGACAGGGTGCTTCTCACAAACATCATTTTGAGAGAAATAAACCAGAGAGAAAAAAAGTACACATATAGTATGATTCCATCTATATTAAGTTCAAGAACAGAAAAATCTAGTCTACAGTGATAGAAATCAAAGGTGAAAGTGAAGACTGTTTGTAAGGAGGCATGAGGTAACTTCTGGGGATTTTGGGGGGGTGGTTAGAAATGACTTTTAACTCAATTGCAGTAGTTAGTTACAAGGGTGCTCACACTAACTAAAATTCATCAAATTATACACTTAAGATTTGCATATTTCACTGTATGGAAACTTCATCTAATTAAAACACAAGAAAAGGAAAAAATATAACCAGTCCATTAATGATTTAAAAAAGAAATTCTACACAGATTAAAGTGTGAAATATAAAAGGAAAACTATGAAAGCCTTACAAGAAGATGGCAGATTTACTTATTTTTAAAGATTTTATTTTTCAGAAGGGAAGGGAGGGAGAACAATAGAGAGAGAAACACTGATCAGTTCCCTCTCACGTGTCCCCAGCAGGGGACCTGGCTTGCAACCCAGTCACGTGCCTGGACTGGGAATCGAACTGGCAACCTTTCAGTACTCAGGCCAATGCTCAACCCACTGAGCTACACCAGCCAGGGCAGAGTGTGGCAGTTTTGAAACATGGCCTCCAAATTCTTTGACATTCCTTACATAGAACTGTGTGATATCTGACCAATAGACTATGGTGGAAATGACATTGTCAAGTTTCTAAGCCTAGGGTTTAAAACACTAGCAGTTTCTACTTTGTGTTTCTTGGGACATTTACTCTTGGAACCCAACTACCATGTGCGAGGAGGCAAAGCCGCCCCGTGGTGAGGTCCATGTGGAGAGAAACGACAGCCAGCGCCACCTGGTCAGCATGTACGGGAGTGATCCTCCAGCCCTAGTCGGGCTGCCGCACTGACACTGCATGTAACAGAGATAAGCTGTTGCCACTCAGCCCTGCCCACACTGTTGTTTCCAGGCATCAAGTTTTGTGGTGGTTTGTTATGTAGCAAAAGATTATTGGAACAGATTGTAGTGCCAGAAGTAGGGTGCGGCAGTGACAAAAGCCAGATACACATGACATTGACTTTGGGATTGGGTATCAGAAAGAGGCATAATGGGCCACCAAGCAAGTGCTGAGAAGGCTGTCAGTGAGAGCTGAAAGGAAAATGAGAAAAGTCTTATTGGGAGATGGAGGACAGGGGACACACGAGGTAGTGATGGGAAGTCAGGCAGCCCTGTCACCTGAAGAACAAGGAAATAAGTGTACCTGATGAATTCAATGAAATAGCTAAGGTGATGAAAGTGCCACCGGCTTCTTTTCACTAGCTGTGATAAAAATGCAAGATGAGAGGAATTAGTTTGAAATAAACAAAACGTAAAACATAAAAAAACTCAGGACTTGCAGAGTTCACAAACAAAACTGCTTCTCATTTCCAATCTCTCCCTGAGGCAAAATATCCTAAGTTGAGAAAGTGTCAAATCCAGAATGGGAAAAAAAAAATCTCTTGCTGAGAAGTCAGAGTGATTTAAAACTATGCTGCATAGACTACTTCAGACCAAAAGGCCCTATAATCTTACAGGCAAATCTCTCAGATTCTTTTCCTTAAACAATAGAATCTGTTGGGCATTGTTTCACAGCAGCTGCACAGGAAGCCCAAACCAGAGAAGGGCTTATCTTTAAGAGATCTGTGGTTGTAGCTTTTGTCTAATGAAGTAAATCCCAAAAGGGATTCATAGACAATCTCTCAAGGTTTTAAGAGAATCATTCTGGTGGAAGCATTGCCAATTAGGACTAAAAAGACAAAGCTGGTACAAAATGAAAAGAATCCTTTAGAGCCCCCAACCTTTTATAGGCAGGAAGAAGACAGAGAAAGCAATCTCAGTTTTCTCAGGGAAAAGGAATGATGATTCAGAGGACAAAACCAAGAGTAATGAAAAACAGCCCCCGGAAAGTAGTACTGCATCAAATTAATGAATTGACAACATGTGCCAAACTGGATTTCAGAATCTATATAGACCAGTGACTGCTGTGTGCCTCTAGTTTTTCTCCCCTTTGAACAGGTGTATCTGTAAGTTCTTCTCTGCCCGTCCAACCATTGTATGTCAGGTATATATCGGAAGCAGACAACATGTTTCTTTTCCCCCCAGTATGTCTCCTTGTTATTTCACAGTATATTTTACTTATTTTTAAAAAAATTTATAAAATTTATTGGGGTAACACTGGTTAGTAAGATAAAAACTTCAAGTGTAAAATTCCATAATACATCATCTGTGTATTTCATTGTGTGCTCACCACCCAAAGTCAAGCCTCTTTCTATCATCAATCATATATTTGACCCTCATTACCCTCTCATACTCTCCCTGACTTCCCCTCTGGTAACCACTGCACTAGACAACACGTTTCTTTAGTTCACAGGTCTTCAGATTGGAGAACTACAGTCAAGGAGCTGTGCCTGGGAAACTGCACCTGAGAGGTCTGATTTGCACCTGGATCTGGATTTAGATGAGGAGATCCTACATCTGGAGCCTGATGTTGTAAACTGATGAGACTTTTATTTATTATTATTATTTTCTTAATCCTCACCCAAGGATATATTTACTGATTTTAGAGGAAGAGAAAGGAAAGGAGGGAAAGAAGGAGGGAGGGGGACAGAGAGAAGGCGAGGGGCAGACAGAGAGGGAAGAACATTGATGTGAGAGAGAAACATCAGTCGGCTACCTCCTGTATGCACCTGACTGGGGATCAAACCTGCATCCCTCTGGTATGTGAGATGATGCTCCAACCAAGTGACAACTACTAACTGAACCACCTAGCCAAGTTTACAAAAGGATGTAAAGTTGATGAGACTTTTAATGGTGAATCTTGCAAGGGGAAGAATAAATTATCCAAGTGGGAAAATATGTAAATAATTTGTGTCTAGAGAATGAATTAAAGTGGTTTTAGAACGTGGTCCATAATTCTTTGACCCTCCTCACATCGAGATGTGGGGTCTGTTCCCCTTCTCATGAATCTTGGTTCTGACTGACTGATCAATAAAATATGGTAGAAATGACACTGTGTTAATTTTGGGGCTCAAACCTTAAAAAATGGTTGCCTCCACTTCTTGTCTCTTGGGATG